CGCGCGTTTATATTTTTCGACCTTTTTATTATTTGGATGGATTTATTTGCTTTGATGTTTTATGTGTTATTAATTAAGAGGAATTTTGCAATAGGATTGATGTATTGGACTCTAACGACTATGAATGTTTTTATGAGAACGTTAAAACTAAAATGAAAGAAAATTTTTGTGTTTTTTTATTAGGACTTTGTTTTTTTATATATATTTTTGTTGGGATTTGTAAAACGTTATTTCACTATTTCTATATGAGAACATCATTACGTTAATTCTAAATAAAAAAAATCACATATGAGTTCATTTTTTTCTATATTTTACTTCATTTATGCAATGATATGTTTAATAAATAAATTAATTTATTTTACAAACTTATTCCACGAAAATCATTTGTCACCACGTGCATCGCACGTGCACTTTACTAGTTATTTTAAACTTATAAATTATTTAACAATTAACAAGTTGTTATCTGCATATTGCTCGGTAGTTGACTAATGTTTAACCAACAAAATTTATCTTACATTAGTACAATTCCAAATGCATGGACTATTAACAAATTGACAATTAAATTTTAATTTTTAGTTACTGTTATCGCTTATGCAACATAACATTTTCATGATAAAGGAAGCCTTGAAATTTGTAAGAACTAACTAAAATCATGACAAAGTCAAATTTATTAAGATCCTTTCATTCTTCTCATCAAACTACATTATTATTAACCTACATAATTCCCATTCTCACTACTTCTTACACGGAGGAAGCGGTTCCCCACACAAACCGGCATTCCCCTCGAAAGCCGAGGCCGGAATATGCACCTTATGAGCCGGTATTTTCCCTCTCAAACGATTGTACGAGACATTAAAACTCTTGAGATACTTGAGATTCAAAACCTCCATGGGTATTCCGCCGACGAGCCCGTTTTTCTCCATCTCGAGCTTCCTCAAATACCTCAACTTCCCTAGCGATGTCGGTATTTTACCGCCCAAAGGGTTGCCGGACAAAATCAAAGTCTCGACGTATTTCATGACTGGCTTGTTCCCGATGTCCTCGTCGATGGGCCGACTGAACATGTTGTTAGAAAGGTCGATCGAGGAGTATAGACCAAGCGTATATTGGGATGATTTTTCGAAAAGCGCGTTTAAATTTCCCGAGAGGCTGTTCGAGTGGAGATCGAGGTCGGTTAAGAAGAGGAGGTTCTTGAACTCGACTGGAACAGAGGAGTCGAAATGATTGTTGGACAAATTTAGATAGGAAAGGTTTGTCATTTTTCCAATCCATGAAGGTAGTTTCCCTTTTAGGGAATTACTCGATAAATCAAGAACATATAGGGAAGAAATGAAGACAAGCTGTTGGGCAGTTCTCCCTCGAGTCCTGTGCTCGCGAGCCGCAGTTCATAAAGGCTTAGACTTTTAAGCCAATCGGGAAATTTATTGAGTCCTAGAGGATTGAAAGACAGATCAAGAATATGTAGGAGCTTCAATTTAAGGAATGTATATGGGATCTGGCCTGAAAGTTTGTTTCTTGATAAATCTAGGCTCTCTAACTTCTTCAGATTTCCCAAACTGGAAGGAATTGTTCCTGTAAAACGATTGTTAGAGAAATTAATGTTTTCTAGGCTAATGAGTTGGCCTAGTGTTTCAGGTAGTGTTCCACTAAGCTGATTGTTTTCCAAAGGCAGGCTTTTGAGCCTCGCCAGGTTCCCGATCGACGGGGTTATCTGCCCTGTCAGATGATTTTCCGACAAACTGATAACCTTCAGTGATCTGAGCTCGCCGATGGAGAAAGGTATTTCTCCAGTGAAGCCGTTGTTGTTGAGGTACAAAACAACGAGCAAATGAAGTCTGCCAATGGACTCCGGGATTTTTCCGGTCATCCAGTTGCTGGAAAAATCAGCGTACGTCAGATTTTTGAGCGCGCCGATTGTTTCGGGCACATTTCCCGAGAATTTGTTCCTGTGGAGATCGAGGTTGGCAAGCGAGGCCAATTTCCAGACCGACGGAGGTATCGGGCCGGAAAATGTATTGGACGAGAGGCCCAAAACCGTCAGCGAGGTCATGTCGATGAAAAGGTCGGATGGGATTTGGCCCGCAAGGATGTTGTTGTCGAGAGTCAATTTTTGTAAAGAGGCCAGGTTCCGTAAGGTGGCGGGAATTGGGCCGCTGAGGTTGTTTTTGTTGAGGAACATGTAATTCAGGTGAACCAGGCGGCCGAGTTCGGTCGGGATGGGCCCACTTAGGTATTTGAGGTTGCTGAGGTCGAGGATTCGGAGGGAAGTGAGGTTGCCGAGGAAAGGGGAGAGATTTCCTGACATGTAATAGTCTGCTGGGTCAAATTCCGAGAAGATGGCGAGGCTAACGACCCGACCCGTTTTGCCGTCGCACGAGACTCCCTCAAATGCTTTGCAGCAGTCTATGTTTGGGCCCCACGTATAGAGGAGGTTATACGGGTCGTTGATTATCATTTTCTTGAGCTCGAGGAGGGCTTGTTTGTCGGTTGGGTGGCACGACGACCCAGGTTTTACGAGGGCGAAGGAAAGGAGTATGATGAGGTGGAGAGTGAGGAGGGGAAGTGATTTTGATGTGGAGTGATTTTCCATGGAGGATTTTTGTCGAGTTTGCATAAGGTCTCTATGTTTTATTTATGTTATTTTTTTGGATTAATGTGATTTTATCAATGTCTGATTGTATGAACTGCAATCGTGTTCTCCATTTATAGTCATTTGTCCAGTGAGACTGAGCAAATGGAATGAGAGTGGTCTCTTTGTGATTTTGTCAATGTTTTTGATGATTTTTTTTTGTCTTAAAGTGTGTGTGAGGAATAATTCTGAAGAGTTTCGTGGCCTATTAATTAATTAAATCTTTTAAGAGAACATAACTTTTTTTTTACATTAAAAAATAACCATATTTCTTGTGATATTTTTTCCTTTTTGGAATTCATTGATGGTATGTTTGAACTTTGTATCATTAATTTGGGATCTTGTCTAAGCGAAAGATTTTTTTTTCTTACTTTTAAAGACTTAATAAAAAAAAGAATAAGAAAATAGTTTTTTTTTTTTTTTTTGCCATATGAGCCCTAGTGTTTAATCAAATAATTAATTTAAAAAATTTGAAATTATAGGACCATAATTACATGTGAATTGCTCGCGTTTCTCTTCCGAAAAATTCATCGAACCCTAGCGCCTTTCTCTTCTCTCGCGTCGCCTTCCTCGGCGGCGGTGCGGTGTCGGCTGGTGGTCGCGTTCGACCGCCGCCCCTCCTCTGCAATCCTTGACCTCTGGTGTTGCCGCGGTGTGTTGAAGTTTGTCGGTCTGCCCAGCCCCTGTTTCGCCGAGGATGTTGCGATTGGAGGAGGCGAGCCATATTGTGGTCGATTGGTCTGC